CTCCCACCAAAAAAAGCTAAAGAGGATAGAGAGAAACACTGTTAACTGATGATGTATGGAGGGGATTATAATCAATGTAATGAAACAAGTCATATGAATGGTTGAATGTGAAACTGATGATGTGCCCTGTAAACTTTCACTGAATCCACAATAAAAACCTTAAAAAAAAAAAAAAGTATTTTACAATAGTATCATGCCACTCATTTTTATTACTGTCTCTTGCTTCACCATCTGCCTAACTGACTTATTTTTCTTTCCAAATTGCCCCATTTTCTTCTCATTTTCATTGTTTCTATTTCTCCTGCCCCATCTTATTATTTCAACTACATGAATCAGAGATAAATCCACTCTGTATGTTTCCTTAAATGAAAACAGGACCTCTGTTTACAAATTTTATTATCTTCCTCATCTTTCTGAATACAATCGTACTGATGGTTGAAATAGGTGAGAACTGATGTTGGAAGAAAAAGTAGGTGGGACTCATCTTTCTTCTAAATTAATCATTTTGCATTTTTAAAATGTCATTTGGATTGTGATTGTTGTTAGTTGCCATCCAGTAGATTCTGATTCATAGCAAACCTATGAAAACAGAACAAAGCACTGCCTGGTCCTACACTATTCTCTCAGTTGTTATGTTTGAGCCAGTTGTTGCTGCCACTATGTCAATCAATCTCTTGGGGGTCTCCCTCATTTTCATTGATCCTCTACTAGTCCTGGTATGGCACTGTAGGATTAAAAACTGGACTATAAGATTGGTTTTAACCACAAGGTCAGTGGTTCAAACTCACCAGCCACTCCTCAGAAACCCTATGTAGGGTCAGAACTAACTCAATGGCACTAACTTACTAAACATGGTATCCTTCTTCAGGGACTGGTTCCTCTTGACAACATGTCCAAAGTACAAGAGGTAAATTCTCACCATCTTGACTTCTAAGGAGCATTCTAACTGTAATTTTCTAAGACAAATTTGTTTGTTCTTTTGCCAGTCCATGGTACTTTTCAATATTCTTCTCCAACACGGTAATTAAAATGCAAATTCTTCTACAGTCTTCCTTATTCATTGTCCAACTTTCACATGTATATGAGGCTATTGAAAATACCATGGCTTGGGTCAGACATACCTTAGTCCTCAAACTGATAATCTTTGCTCTTCAACAATTTAAAGAGGTCTTTTGAGATAGATTTGCCTAATACAATACATCAAGGAGCTCTAGTAGTGTAGTGGTTACAAATTGGGCTGTGAAGCTTAAGGTCAGCAGTTCAAAACTACCAGCTGTTCTGCAGGAGATGATATAAGGCTTTCTGCTCCTATAAAGATTTACAGCCTCAGAAACCCTATACAGAGTTGCTATCAGCTGGAACCGACTCCATGGCACATAACCACCACTAATGCAATGCATCATTTGATTTCTTGACTGCTACTTCCATGAGTGTTTATTGTGGATCCAAGCAAAATGAAGTCTTTGACAACTTTTGAAAGCTTTAAAAAGTCTTTTCTCCACTTATCATGATATTATTTATTGGTCCAGTAGTGAGGATTTTTGTTTTTGTGAGGATAAAGGTGCAATCCATATTGAAGGCTGTAGTCTTTGATCTTTATCAAAAAATTTTAAGTCCTCTTTGATTCTGGCAAGCAAGGTTGTGTCATCTGTATATTGCAAGTTGTTAATGAGTCTTCCTCCAATTCTGATTCTACGTTCTTCATATAGTCTGGCTTCTCAGATTATTTGCTCAGCATACAGACTGAATAAGTAAAGTGAAAGGATACAATCCTTGTGCAAATCTTTCTTGATTTTAAACCATGTAGTATCCCTTTGTCTTATTTGAATGATTGCTTCTTTGGCTATGTACAGGTTTTGCATAAGCACAATTAAGTGTTCTGAAATTCTTGTTCTTTACAATGTTATCCATAGCTTGTTATTATTCACACAGGCAAATGCTTTTGCATAGTCAATAAAACACAGGCAAACATCTTTTTACTCTTGTTTGCTTTCAGTTAAGATCCATTTGACATTAGTAATAATAGCCTTAGTATCACATCCTCTGAATTATCTTGAAAATCTAGCAGTTCCATGTCAGCGTACTACTACAACCATTTTTGAGTTATCTTCAGCAAAATTTTGCTTGCATGTGGTATTACTGATATCTTAGATAATTTCTGAATTTCTTTAGAATGGACAAATATATGGATGGATCTCTTCCAGTCAGTTAGCCAAGTAGTTGTCTTTCAAATTTCTTGGCATAAACAAGTGAGAACCTGCAGTGTTGCATTTGTTTATTGAAACATCTCAACTGATATTCTGTCAATTCCTGGAGTCTTGTTTTTTCACCAGTTCCTTCAGTACAACCTGGGCTTTTTCCTTCAATACCATTGACTCCTGATTTTATGCTACCTCCTGCAATGATTTAATGGTGACCAATTCATTTCTATGCTGTGTATTCCTTCCATTCTCTTTTGATGCTTCCTGCTTTGTTCAACATTTTACCCATAGCATTCTTTAATATTGTAACTGGAGACTTGAATTTTTTTTTCAGCTTGAGAAATGCTGAGTATGTTATTCCCTTTAGGTGTACTAATTCCAGGTCTTCCTACATTTCATTATAATACTTTGTACTATTGAGCTGCCCTTTGAAATCTTTTGTTCATTTCTCTTAGCTCATCATTTCTTCTACTCACTCTAGCTACTCTACGTTCAAGAGCAAATTTCAGAGTGTCTTCTGACATTTATTTTGTTTTTTTCTTTCTTTCCTGTCTTTTTAATGTGTGAATTTTTTAGTTTTGCTTTCTTCATGTATGATGTCCTTGTCTGGTCTTGTCTTTAGTGTCAGATGTATTCTTGTGTGTGTGTTTTTTGTTTTTTTTTAAGTTTTTATTGAGTTGAGTGAGTGATAGTTTACGTGGGAGAATATCAGTTTTAAACCATTGTTTCATTGCAATGATTACAATCTTCTCTGTGCATCATCAATCAACAGTATTTGCTTCTATTTCCTCTGTTGTTTTTTGAAGGGTGGTGGTGGTGTACACAGAAACACTCAGGAATATATAATCATTTAAACAACCAAAGGGCACATTCTGCAAGACTGCCTCTTGGCTGCCAGCACCCAGTCCCTCTCTTTCCATGAGTCTAGAGTCCTCAGCTGTTCCCTTTTTCCATGTTCCCATCTCTGCCTCCATCTCTGGTGTTGCTGCTTCTTTGGATAGGGTTCCACATTCCGCTTGTGTTCTTCGCCCTTGATGGTTCTAAGGTCCTCTGTTTCTGGACTGTAAGATAAACTACTCCCCTGTTTTTGTAACAAAACCTTTACATTTATGACAGTCACGATTAGTCATGATAACAATTACTCACTATTGAATCATAAAAATCTTATCCCCATCTCTTTTTATCGGAACCATCTAGACAAGATGAAAACTATTCAGTGTGGACTCTAACTTCCTCCTGGCCTCCAAGGATCACTCTGGCTGAACTTCTTCCAACATAGATCTGTTGGTTCTTTTGGCAAACAATGGCACTTTCAATATTGTCCTCCAACATCATAACTCAAAAGCATCAATTCTTCTAGAGTCTTCCTTATTCACTGCCCACATGCATGTGAGGTTATTGAAAATACCATGGTTTGTGTCAGATGCACTTTAGTCCTCAAGCTGACATCTTTGCTCTTCAACACTTTAAAAACCAGAGCTCATAGAATCCTTCAATATTGCACTGGCCCCTAAGGTTCCTGTTTAATCTTTTGAGTTGCTGTTAGCAATTTGATCCCATATAGGTAGATCTTAAAAGAGCTCAGTATTAAAGGCAAACTCTTTACTAGTTAAACTATTGTTTGATTTTAAGAAAACTTCAGGAGATATTTTTGGTTTAAGATTGAAAGATTATCTCTTTCATTAGTTTCAGGGGTTCATATAGAGCCCATGAAAATTTTAAATTCTATTCTGCATTTCCCTCCTCTTAATCAGAATTCTGGTATAGAATCTTTGATCAGGATTGTTAGCTGGGACCAGCTTCAGTTCTGGCAAAGGATGCAGTTTTTCATGGAGACAATTAACTATACATTCTGTCTCTTCCTCCTATTCTTGATTCTCCTTCCTTTGTTGTTCCAGACAAATAGAATCCAATTATTGTTCCATGGGGTGCAAGCTTTTAAGATCCCGGGCACTAGTCAACAAACTAGGAAGTAGAATGGAAGCACTAAATACGTTATTAGGCCAATGAACTGCTGTGTCCCATGAAAGTAGGACCATAAACCTCCAAATCAAATCCCATGAAGTGTTTGGTTTACATAAGCAGCTTCAGCAGCTACTCTTTTGTTGTTGTTGCTGTAAATATTTATATCACACAACTTTTGCCTTTTCCAATTTAACTGTTTATAGGTGTACTACAAGAAATCAAATGATGTATAAGGCTAATCTGCTGCACAAGACCTCTTTAAAGTCTTCAAGAGCAAAGATATCACTTTGAGGACTAAGGTGAATCTGACCCAAGCCATGGTATTTTTAATAGCCTCATACACATGTGAAAGTTGGACAATGACTAAGGAAGACTATAGAAGAATTGATGAATTTGTGTTATGGTGTTGGAGAAGAATATTAAAAATACTTCCAGAAGCACAAACAAGGCTGTGTTAGAAAAAGTACAACCAGAATGCTCCTTAGAAGCCAAGATGACCAGGCATCATCACTCATGTTTTAGGAAGGACCAGTCCCTGGAGAAGAGCATCATGCTTGATAAAGCGGAGAGTCAGCAAAATAAAGGGAGAACCCCCAATGATATGGATTGGCATGCTGGCAGCAACAATGGGCTCAATTGTAACAAAGATTGTGAGGTTGGCACAGGACCTGGCAGTGTTTTTTCTGTCATTCACAGGGTCACTATGATTCGGAATCGACTCAACGACACCTAATAACAACAACTTATTGACAGAAGTTATACCAAATGACTGGAACCCTAGATTTGTACAAGCCACAAACTTTTTGAAGTCCCCTTATTTTTCATGGTCAGTTTTGCCACTGTATTTCACAGGCTTGAAGGAATAACAGTGTTAAAAAGAGAAGCTCAAAAACAAATGGAATAGCAGCAGGCAAAACTGTGGCTTGTAATCATTTTTTATTGTGGAGCTGTAGGGTAAACACTGGATTGCTAACTGTAAGGCCAAGTGTTCTAACCCACCAGCTATTTCTCAGAAACCCTATACAGGGTAGCGATGAGTCAGAACTGACCAGATGGCACTTAACAACAACATCATCATTCAAGTTCCTCCTTCTTTAGCCCTTATTTTATTCTTTGCTCTCCTCTCATAGAATTGCTGGAATCCACAAATGCCAAACTGTGGCTCCTCAAGCTGAGTCTGGAGGTGGCAGCTTGGTTCATCATGCTTGTTTTTCTCTTTGAGATCCTTCTTATGTGGACATTCAGCTTTTTCCTCTTCTGGAAGAATACCTGGAATGTCTTTGACTTTATTGTCACCATATTGGTAAGAATAGATACCCCAATGATGAGTTTAGCAGGCCGAAGAATGTGCTGAGGTGATTCAAAAGCATATGAAAAATTAAGATGATTAGATTACAGGAAGAAATGCAACATTTAGCTAAACTTCTTCTTTTGCTCCCTCCCCCAAATGTGTAAGGCAATCGTTGCAGAAATTATTGGTATTGGGGGCAAGACAGAGTCTAACTATAATACCAACCCCAAAGATTAACATTTGCCAGCGATTGGATGTTTACTAAATGTCAGGCATTACTCTGCTAGGAAGCCTTCAGTGAAGTAGACGCCAACCACAACAAAAATGTAGAGGAAGATGAGCAGCATCTGGTAGTGTAGTGGGTAGCTCAGGTAGCTAATTGCAAGGTCAGCAGTTTGAGTCTACCAGCTGCTCCTCAGGAGAAAGATGAGGCTTTCTGCTCCTGTAAAGACTTACAGCCTTGGAAACTCTGTACAAAGTTGCTATTAGTCGGAACCAACTTCATGGCACTCCCCATCATCACTACCTTGTTTTACGTGTAGTATTTTGTTTGAGTCCCATAACAACCCCAATGAGCTAAAGCACTTTTATATTCCCCTTTTTATATGTGAGTTAGCTGAGTTATAGAGTTTATGTAATTTGTTGTTGTTGTTAAGTGCTGTCATGGTGGTTCTAACTCCTAGTAGCCCTGTATAGGGTTTCCGAGGAGCAGCTGGTGAGTTTGAACCGCTGACCTTCAAGTCCAGTGCATTACCCTGCAGTGCCCACACCAGGACTCCTTACGTAATTTAGTATGGAAATATTGAATAGGAAACAATCCCCAGAGAATGCCTATTCCAGGGATAATGCCTAGGGAACTCTGAGGAGAATGAGACGAATAAGGGTCAACTGTGCCTTGAGTGCTGTGGGGTATCTTGCTGATAATACATGTCTTTCTCACAGTCCCTGATTCCGGAGGTTGTGGTGCTAGTAGGGGTGACAAGCCAGTCTGTATGGCTCCAGTTGCTGAGGATCTGCCGGGTGCTGAGGTCCCTCAAACTCTTTGCACGATTCCCTCAAATTCGAGTCATTATTTTGGCCTTGGTCAGGGCCCTCAAGGTAATTTGACTGTTGCAGCTAAGTCAGCGGGAAAGGTAGATAAACATGGGCGTTTAGCATGAAACAAGAGTCTGGGTGGGTCACAGAAGGTAATGAAAAGGCTCAGATGTTATTAGATGAGACAGAGCTGGGAACAAACTGTAGTAGTGGTCCAGAGATAATGAAGATTTGGCTTGGGGATAGCCAGTGTGGGTTGACCGGGTGGCCAACTGCTTAGTCTGGCCCAGCTCTAACTGGAGATTATGACCTCTAGACCATGACCTTCCTCTTGATGTTGCTACTCATCTTCTTCTACATTTTTGCTGTGGCTGGTGTCTACTTCTTTGAAGGCTACACCCATTCAACTCGCCAGGACCTGCAGTACCAAATGTTCTTCTCGTAGGCATGGTTGGGGTTAGCTTGGGTAGTGGGAGAGAATTTGGGAAAGGGAAGGAGAAGCTAACTCAAAATGTAGTTAATACAAAAAATAAAATAAAATAAGAATAAGTATTAAGTGGGGGAAGTCCTAAGATTCATTCAGTTCAGGTCCTGATGTTTCCAATAAATTGTACCTGGGGGACTAAGAAGAAAAGAAAGACTATTTAGACAACTCCCTGAGACCTTTTGTGATATTTTCTTGACAGTTATCTGGGATCACATATGTTTATGTAACATAGTCATCATTGTACTCACCTATTTGTTCACATCAGCAAGCTAAATAGGGATGATTGTTGAAGTTGTAAGTGACCTGTTAGGTGATATCCTTAGATCATTACTGAATAACTTACAGCAGTTTATTATGTGTGCCCCAGATACTAATGGTATTCATGATAAAGGAAAACCTAAAAAAACATCCTCAAACTGAAGAATGATAGTTAAATATTGAATAAAGTAGAAAAGAAGGTAAAGGTCAGAGTAAATTACAGAGATATTTTCTTATAGTGCTTTAAAAGTAGGAATGATTCTGATTCTAAGAGATTTAGATCTCTGCTTCTATATATAGATACACACTCTTCCATTTTCTTTAGGGATGTGCTAAATTCCCTAGTGACGGTGTTTATTCTCTTCACCTTGGATCATTGGTATGCATTGCTTCAAGATATCTGGAAGGTACCTGAAGTCAGCCGCACCTTCAGCAGCATCTATGTTGTCCTTTGGTTGTTGCTTGGCTCCATTATCTTTCGAAATATCATAGTAGCCATGATGGGTAAGCATACAGCAAGTGAAACTTGATGGGAAGTGTAGTTGGGAGGAAATGACTAGAAACTCTCGGATTGGTGGATCTATATAGAACTCGGTATAGCAGGAAAGCTGGGGGCCTGAAATGAATATATCACTTGGTTTCGGCTATCTAAGCCTTGTCCCCAGATCTAGTTGCCAGCGTCTCCCAACAACTAATGGCCCTTTGGGGCAGTTACTAATTTCCAGCATATCAGGAATGAGCTGAATGAGGAGATGACATATCTGGAGGTTCAACACAAAGCCGGGATATTCAAGCGTCAGATTATCCAGAGGTCTGCTTCCCCATTTTCAAGTCCCACCTTAATTCTCAAGGATTCCTTGATTCTATTCCCTATTTCTACTTCTTGGCCTTGGCCCCACTCTCCCCCTTGTACCAGAAGATTTATGCCATGATTATGAATTCCCAAAATGTAGAACATTGCCTGATTCTTTATCCACTGCTGGGGCCTTTCTACTTGTTTTCACCCCTTTGCTATAGTTCTTTCCCTTCACTCAGTTTTCTCCAATTTCTCATCTGAATTTCTCTCTCTCTTCTTTCCCTTACTATACTCCTGCTTGAGTATAGCTGGCTTTATTCTTTTGCGTTTTGCTTTGCAGGAGACAAAACCTCTTGTTACCCGAGACAATAAGGTCAAGCCACAGCAAAATTACTACTAGGTATGTGACCTGGGATGGAAACACATAGAACAGAAAAACAAAGTTAAAAATTGACTTTGAGAGAGAATTCATTCATTTAGTAACTGTTAATCATAATGAGTTGAATTGTGCCCATCTGCTCCTCAGACTCATACGGGTCACGCTATGAGTCAGAATTGACTCGACGACACTTAACAACAACAAGGTAAATCCATAACATAACCTCAGACCTATGTTGTTGTTGTGTGCCACTAAGTCAGTTCCAACTCACAGCAACTTGATGTAGGATTTTCAAGGCTATAAATCTTTTCAGGAGCAAAAAGCCTCATCCTTCTCCCATGGAGCAGCTGTTGGGCTTGAACTGCCCACCTTGTGGTTTTCAGTACAGTGCTTATCATACAGAGCCACTGAGCTCCTACCAGAACATGTAATGTGACCTTATTTGGAAAAATGTTTTTTATATATGTAATTAAGGAGTCCTGGTGTGGCGCTGTAGGATAAGCACTGGATAGCAAGGTCAGTTTGAACCACAGGTCAGGGTTCAAATTCACCAGCAGCTCTTTGGAAACCTATACAGGGTCCCCATGAGTAGGAAATGACTTGACAGCACTTAACAACAACAACAACAACAATTAAGGATCTCAAGAGGAACTCATGTTAGATTATCTGAATGGTCCCTAAATTCAATAGCAAGCTGTCCTTATAAGATACTGAAGAGGAGAAGACACAGAGAAGAGAAAGCAATGTGAAGACAAAGGCAGAAAATTGAGTAATGTAGCCACAGGCCCAAGAAATTCAAGAAATGCTGGACAGCTACCAGAAGGTAGAAAGATAAGTAACCTTTTCCCCTAGGGCCTCCAGAGGGAGCATAGTTCTTCCAACAATTTGATTTTGGACTCTAGAATTATGAGAGAATAAATTTCTATTGTTTAAGCCACCAAGTTTGTGCTAAATTGTTATGGAAATGAAGAAACCTTCTACGAAACAGATTCTATTTTAGGACCTGAGTTCAGCAGTGGACAAGGTAACAGAAAAAGTTATAAATTTATTTATCTACTCAGCAAATAATTACTGAATATTTGTTAACTGCAAGGTCAGCAGTTCAAACTCATCAGCCTCTCTACGGATTTATAGAAGCTATGTGCTCCTGTAAAGATTTACAGTTTCAGAAACTATCAAGTGGTTTTGAGTTGAATTGACTGGATGGCAGTAGGTTTGTGTTTTTTTGTGGTTTTGTTTTTTGATACATCAAATGAACAAAATAGACAATAACACCTGCCCTCAGGGAGCTAACTTACATATTATTAGTAGGGGAAAAAGACAATGAACATACTGAATAAGTAAATTATTTAATATGTTAAAATAAGATGTTGTTGTTGTGAAGTGCCGTTGAGTCAGTTCCGACCCATAGCGACCCTGTATAGGGTTTCCAAGGAGCATCTGGTGAGCTTGAACTGCCAACCTTTCAGTTCAAATGACTTTGCAGTCTGGCGCATTAACCCACAGCGCCACATCAGGACTCAAAAAAATAAAAACAAACCCAAAAAACTATAGAAAGAATCAACAGGACAAGAATTAACAAAATTGACAAACCATTGGCAAACCTAACAAACGAAAAGAGGGAGAAGACACAAATAACACGCATTAGAAACCACATGGGCGATGTCACAACGGAACCAAAGGAAATCAAAAGGATAATAACAGAATACTATGAAAAGTTGTACTCCAACAAATCTGAAAACTTAGAAGAGATGGATACATTCTAGAAAAACTTAGCAAACTTACACAGAATGAGGTAGAAAAGCTGAACAGACCCATAACAAAAGAAGAAATTAATCAGGTCATAAAAAAACTCCCAACCAAAAAAAGTCCAGGCCCACATGGCTTCACTGGTGAGTTCTACCAAACATTCAGGAAGTTGTTGTTAGGTGCCATTGAGTCGGCACCTCCTCATAGCGACCCTATGCACAGCAGACAGAAACACTGCCCGATCCTGGGCAAACCTCACTACTGTTGCCACGCTTGAGTCCATCGATGCCACCACCTGGCCAGTCTATCTCGTTTTGGGTCTTCCTCTTTTTCTCTGACCCTCCAAAAAGATGACTATACACATGGACCTCGCCAGATAGAATACATAGAAATCAAATTGACTACACCTGCAAGCTGTCTCTTAAAAATGCTGTCTAAAGAAGGTATTTGAAATGAACAAATCATTGGTTTTGCAGAATTCTACCATGTGTTCTTCAGCATTATTTCTATCACCAAGGCCATATTTTCCAACTACCGATCCTTCCTCTTTGCTCCCAACCTTTGCCTTCCAATCACCAGTAATGATCAATACATCTTTTTTTTTTTTTTTAATGTTTTATTGTGATTTATATGATAGTTTACATGGGAGAACTTTAGTTTTACATTCATTCCATCGTATATCAT